ATTTCATCAAATTTTTGGACATTAAAATGTTATCAAATATAAAATGTGTTAACTAATAGAAAGTTTCAGGATAAGAATGATATGGAAAATCATTAGGGACATAAGTACTGTAATGAGCAAAGATTAAGACCCCTAAGTGCAAAAATAAAAATTGTGCCGTTAATAATTACTTTTTTTTTTTCCATATCAAAAAAATCCGTTTAGGCGTAGATAAAATCATAATCAATCTGACTGACTAAACTCAAAATAGATTAAGGTCTAAGGATATCCAATCCAAATACTGAATCAACGTTCAAAATTCGTTTGCAAATTGAGAAATTACCAATCCGTGGTCATATCTGTAATTGAATTTGAGTATATTATAGGCATACGTCCCAAAATAGTAAGGAGAATCACATCAATGAATTTAAATGTCACAAAATCTTCTTCCATTGTTGGGGCCCACCATATCGGAGCACCACCCATGTCGTTGACCACCCCAGTCACACTTACCAACACCATAACGAGATTAAGTATTGAGAGTCAACGATTGTGGAACAACAAACAGTAACGCTCGCCTTCACCTCTTGCAACCATTGCTGAAGAGGAGGAGGTAATGGGGGACTTTAGATGCAGGTGAAGTCAGGAGAAGAAGTCAAAAGAGACGATGATCGATTTGAGAGAGAGAGAGTAGAAAAATAATTATACATAAATCTTAAATGATATTTATTAATTGAATATTGAAAGAAACATAGAAACGCGGAAATTAATATTTAAAATGTAGGGCTTAAGATAACTTGTTAGAGTTGAACACGCGTTACACATTATTCTAAAATGCTTTATAACTATCGTGAAAGTAATATTTGTCCATCAATTTAACCTTTTGATCTAAATATGAAAGAAATGCAGTTCCTTGAAAATAAATGTTAAATATTATATATGTGAGTAAATAGTAGAATATATAATTGAATGTGAGTATTAAAATTACAACTAAATGTATAAATGAACATGAATGACAAATACGATATATGAATTAACGTGAATATCAGTTAATTTAGAATTAACATCAATGAATATATATACTTGATAATAAATGCTAAATCATTTATATAAAATAAATATAATTAAATTTCTAATAAAGTGAAACTGGATACTAATTAGAATATATGAACGTGAATAACGAACCGCATTCCTGAATGTGAAATTTTGATTAATATTAATCAAATGAATGTGAATGTTAATAAATTAAGAATTAATCGGCGTTTTAAATATCGAATTGATCTGATTGTTTCAACTGGTTTAGAAACCTAGACCAAAATCGTTTCGATTAGACTTATAAAATCTCTATTTAAAAATTCGTCCCAAAACCTGTTAAACCGATCAATTTTTAAAAACATGTGACCAGTTCATGGTTTAACTGGTTCAAGCTATGTAAATTTATATTTTTTAAATGTGTTTATATATATATATATATTTCTAATTTTTGTAAATGTATATTTTTAAAATTTTTAAAAATCGCGATTCGATTCTGGTTCGACCTTGATAATATGCTAAATGAAATGTGAAATTAAATGACTCATGTTATTCTACTTATCATTTAATGCCACATCAATTGGGAATATAACTCTAGTGGAGCTAAATAATATTATTCTTACTTTAAAATGGGTACTCCACGTATAATCCGAGTGGCCTCTTCAAATTGGACACCAACAAAAAATATGTGGTTAAAAAATTGTGAACCCCATGAAATGTGTTATTAAAATTAATTGTTGGCTTTCACTTGAAATTAAAATCAGATTTTAATTCGAACCAAACAGGGGCTTAATATGTTAAAATCAAAATAAATAAATTAATATATAATTGATTGTTACGCTTTTATATAAACGTTTTGACCCTTTCTCTTTTTTCAAGTCTATGGCTTTGTCGATTTTTAAAACATTGGAATTAATAACATGGACGTGGTGAATGTAAAACTCTAATTAATATCAATTAAATGAATGTGAATGTTAATTAATTGAGAATTAATTATAGTATTTAGTATAATTTGTAAATTAAATATATGTTGAAAACGAAAAGTAAGGTATTATTAAAATAATTGAATTATAGTAGGACTATATTCGTCCAAAAAATTATTTTCACTTAACGTGATATTTAATATATTATATATTTTCTCCTTTAGCTTTCTTTCTCTTTTTATACTGCATGTTATATTGCATTAAAAGTATGAACAGAAATTAAGGGCTCCACTAAAATGAGATTTGGAGAGAAAAATGTGTTTTGAAATGGTGATTTTTCGAAAAATGTGTGGTTAGAAAATAAGAAAAAAATCTTAAATTTACGTATAACATTATTTTGTGGAAGAATGCATGACTAAAAATAAGTTTCAAAAAAAATGCATTTTCCAGAAAATATGTCCAAAAAGGGACATAATCTGAGCCCTGACCCTCTTTGGCCTGTCCTCAGGTATGCTATGACTCGATTATATTTACAAATGAATCAGTTTGTTTTACCACTAAACAAATAATTAATCCATAAAGAGATGGCTCGGTTCTGTTATTATTATGTAATCTGATATACAATTGAAATTTATATATATATATATATATATATAAAGATCCTTCAATTGCCCATTTGTCCTTGTTCATGTACAATTTTGAGAAGCGAGAAACAAAAGGATATAACAAAGCCATTCTCATCCAAACTTATAAACACAACAATTTTACAGACATGTAGTTGCATAAAGAAAAGACCATAAGAACCCTCACGACATTATTAATGCCGTGGCCTAGGATCCTAAATAACCATCGACTTTGCTGTTCAATGACCTTGAAAGGAACTTCATGCAAATAGGAGGTTTGATGCCAGCCAGGGCAAGTATGGAACTAGGCAAAGCCCATATCCCATCACCGCAAATTAGACCAGAAGCTACAGCTGGTGCGAAAGCATCTGCGCCCGCCTTATTCCTCTTCTGCCAGATATATAGAATTAGGCTTCCAATACACATGTCGATGGCGAAATAGGAACCCAAAAAGAACGGTATTGCCATTGCCATTGGAAGTGGAATAAACCACGATCGTTTCTTTCCCAGAGCATCTCTAATTATGTTGATTAAAATGGCCGCAGCAAAGAAGGCGTAACATAATTTGAGGCATTCTTTTGGCAATGCTGAGAAGCCCTCAACCCCCAATTTAGCCATATTATAGTAAATTGAAGCGAAGGGAGCAGGATATTCGCTCGACTGCATCCCTAGGTCAGGGAAAGCCTTGTAGAAGATCCAAAATACACATGGGGATATCACACATCCCATTGCAGTTCCAATCCCTTGGCTCACGAACATGGAACGAGGTGAAGCTAGTGTCATATAGCCTGTCTTGAAATCTTGCATAAGGTCGGAGGCTGTGGAAACAATGTTCATCATGACTCCACAGGCTGCCAGACCTGCCAAAACTCCTCCGTGTGAGGCACCTGCCCATGCTCCAATAGTAAAGATTGCAAGCTTTCCATAAGTTGAAGCTAGTGACCAATCCGTGAGTCCACATCCAAATGCATTACAGAATGCCAATACTGGTGCAAAAGTGTAGATTACTATAATGTGGTACCACTTGAGCTGGTGGAAGATGTGTGGAAGTGTAGCAGTCGATACTGAAGCAATGGCTATGTAGCCTCCAATAGCAAGCCATGTTGGGATTTGATCCTTGAGGAAGAGTTGAGTCCGACACTGGTCATCATAAGATAGAGTTTTGGTGACCGGAGAAGAGTGCTCAGACACTGGGAGAGGCATTGCTTTTCTGTTCCGAATTTTCTTGTGCAAATCAGCCATAGTTTGGGTCAGCACTTTAGCGAAACTGTATAAGCCATCACCCAGTATCAAAGCAATGGCTATAAATACCTACATAAATGAAGAAGTTAGAACATAAAACTGTAATTTAAAGTTCAAAAACAGGTACTAAAGATCCAGAATGCACCGTGTATCCTTTAAGGCCCTGCATACTATCTGGATCAAGATCAGTATACCAATGACCCTTTCTAGTTTCTATAAGCGGCAACATGATACCCCACGAAAGAATTCCTCCAATCAGAACCGATACATTTACAATATGGGGGCAAATCATCCCGACTCCAACATAAGTTGCTGAGAAATCAAAGTAAAACCTGCGATTTTAGAACGAGGACATTACTTAAAATATTTTTTTAGTCTTTGTTTTGATAGACAATCACCTTGTACGCCCTTTAATTATAGAGAAAAAAGTAACATGCTTACTTGTACTCGAATGCTTTTAGTCCAAATGTCGGGAACTTTTGGAAACCACAATCATCAGTAGCGGTGAAGAACCATTGAAAGAAACTCCATAAGAAGCTAAAAGAGAGAAACTTGCCCAATTCTCTGACCTGCTTCCTGTAACGGCACAGTAGTAAATCAAGAGTTCAGTTTTCAAAATTACTTCCAACATAATTTGTTAAACTAGAGCGTTACATAACTAGCAACTTACTTGGCTAGTTTGGCTCCCTCGGGAGTGTGGAAGCTGTTAATAAGATGTGCAGTCGCAGTACCACTTGGGTACGTCAGTTTGAAGTCTACTATCATGATCTGACAAAAAGAATAATCAACATTTCTAACGTGTAGTTAAAAATGAAGTTTGACCATGATAAACGATTTATAAATTTTGCCAAACAGAAGGCTTAAGTAGGAGTTCAAAGGTCTGTTAACATGTATATTATGAAATTCTGAACTCCACAACTCTATGAAGAATACCTTTCGGAGTGGAACCAAAGAGAATAGACCAAGAAAACTGACTACAAAAAGAAAGCCAATTATCCATCCGAGTTCTGGATTCTTGTACTCTAATCCATCTTGAGTTTTCTCCGATTGTTTCACTACACGCTCGCTCATCGCAAATAGGTAACTCCCAAACCCACCTGCAACACGATATTATTTTTTCAATTTTACACTTTTCTAGGCGAGAGATAGGAATAGTACATATTTATCGATAGAAAGGTATAGTTTGGTACCACTAAAGGCGATGCCAGAAGCGGCGACAACACATGTCTGAATAACAGTATTTTCTTGACGAGTGAAAGGTTGCTTCAACAACCCTGATCTCTCAAGTAACTTCGTCCACGTCTTGACAAAGAAGAAACCCAACAAGCCAGCCGATACATTTAGTGACGGTATTATACCAACAGTGAGATTAAGCTTCATTACTATGAACGAGAACATCACTGACAACACGAAGCTCACAACGAATGCCCTTATTGTCAATTGTTTCTTCCATGAAGGAACCTCTTTCTTTGCAAAGATCTGCTCCACTGACAACTCTTCTTCTTTCTTAATCTCATCGCTCCTTTCTTCTTCATTGATGTTCAACTCGGGAACTCTACTATCCACATTTTCTAAACTTCCACTACTCTCCATAGCTACACCAATTCTAGGAAAATATTGAGAATCTTAATTTCTTATTGTATTATGTTAATGGATCTTTTGGTATATACGAACCTATATATAGCATATATAGGATACTTGAAGTCGAATCTAAGGTTTTAAAACTAAACATTTCCGTCAAGTTTGTTGGATACAACAAAAACATGCATATGCCTCTCTGGTTGAGCATGTCGCCATCTAAACAACTTGGGAATAAAAATGATAAGATGTTGACTCCTCTTTGGATGTTTAATTTGGCAACGTATTGTAGACATTGACCGATTTATATATCTAACCAAATGTACATAGCCCAATTCTTGAATTGCTATTCTTAAATTAAGATGTTGTTATCAAACTTATTCCTCTCAAAGGTCACTCTCCTAGGATTTTAATTATCTAGAATTTTGTCTCCTTAATTGGTATTATTATTACCTTTAGGGAGTCTTGATCATTCAATTTATCGTTTTTTAAAGCATATGATAGTAACAAGTTTCCTA